CTACTGTGTCACCATCATAGTGAATACCTACTTCCTTGTTTCCCCATGGCCTGGCAGCCAAGAGCTGCTGTGTCTGCCTTCTTATGTCATTGAACATATTCCACTCAATACAAAGTGGCAGAAAGTTCCAGTGCTTAAGTTTTTCAAAAGGCAAAGTTTGGCTAGAATTTTGATTAGTTATAATAGTACTTTTTTGCTTCTTACCATTCTTTTCCAAAATAATTTACTTTAAAAGCAATAATTTTTTCAGCCAGTATCTGTTATAAATCTCACTCCTTGCCAAACACACATCTGAGAGAGAAAAAAAATAATCATAGTACAAAGATAATCATAGTTAAATGCTTAACTATTGTTAAATGTTATGGTTCTCTTTGCACTATGATTATTTTTCATCTCTCAATGAGATTGCAAGTTTTACCAGAGAAGATGTGTAAGTGCTTGGCAAAATGCTGTTGAGTAGTGAAGGCATAAATGCTGTAGAATTTACACAAATATTACAGAATGGGCAAGAATGGCCATGGAAAGCTTTGTGAAGACAGAGAGGAAAGGAAACTGGCCACCTATTTAGTGCTGCTACATACACCCTCCAAATCAGAGCCCTGCTCCGCACCTTGTCCCAGTGAGGTCTACCTCTGAGGTGATGACAACAGTGGCTGGGTAAAGGGAAAGACCACCCAGCTCTCTGCTGTTTCTGCTGCTATAACAAAGAAGAGAAGAGGATGAAGTGCTCTTACACCTTCCTGCTGAAGGCTGCCTAGCCATTAAAGCAGTGGTTCTCAACCTGTGGGTCGCGACCACTTTGGGGGTCAAACAACCCTTTCACAGGGGTCGCCTAAGATCATCGGAAAACACATATATAATTACATATTGTTTTTGTGATTAATCACTATGCTTTAATTATGTTCAATTTGTAACAATGAAAATACATCCTGCATATCAGATATTTACATTACAATTCATAACAGTAGCAAAATTACAGTTATGAAGTAGCAACAAAAATAATTTTATGGTTGGGGGTCACCACAACATGAGGAACTGTATTAAAGGGTCGCGGCATTAGGAAGGTTGAGAACCACTGCATTAAAGGGAGCTGAAGGTCTGACCTGATCTTTGTGCCACACATGAGCTCCATCCCTTATCAGGGAAGTTTTGATAAGAAAAGGTGTAGTGCAAGCATTTCATGGAATGCACAGATTTTCTTTATAGAAGATTGTTGGTGATTAGTTTCTAATCTGAAATACATTTGCACTTAATAGGCTTTTGTGAATTTAAGAAGTTATTCTTGTTCATACAATTTTTTTTCTATAGGAAATGCTTGTTCCTATTTCAAGAATGAGTCATTTATAAATTAGAGAGTATCTTCAACAGTGGTTTCAACCATGGCAGTATACTATAATTCCCTGAGGGTTCTAATGTGTAACCAAGATTGGGAACCACTGTTCTATTATTTGGGATTTGTACTGGACAAATTAATACTATGTTTTAAAATTAATTACATTTCATTCCTAAGTCATTATCAACAAATGTGTTTCGTACCTAGCTGACAAGAATTTCCAGTATCTATTTCTTAATTAGAACATGTATAATTATAAGAGGGTTTTTTAATAGCATTTTCCAGGCAGTGAGACCAAGCAATTTATTTAAAGCGACAAATCAGTAAAGTGCCCCAAATTTACCAAATGCATAGATCTAAGCCTGTGCTGTATATGAATATGATCAAAGCCAAGTCTACATCTGTGTGCACAAAGGTGTATGCATAGGTGTAATCGTTCTTTCTAAAAGCCTGCAGTTTGTAGCTGACATGAGCTTTGTGTTTTGTTTTATTTCTATGTTGTTCTAAGTATACTACCATGTTCTTGAGGCTTATCTCCAGGAGGCATAGTTATTTCCTTTCTAAGTGTAAAATACAGAAGCAGGTAAACACTAGAGCTGGATACTCCCTTAACCCCTGTATGTCATAGGTGCCTAATAAGTAGGGAAGAGAATCACTGACAAAGCAACAGCTTCATTTAATATCAAAGTATAAAAATGAATTTTAATCTTCTGAGAGATAACTTAGTAGAATTAGCTGGATTGCTATCCTTTAGTATCCATGGCCTCCAAATAAATATCAGTACAGATGGAAAGGAGATAATGTTTGATTATTTGAAATTGGGGCTTTCTGGGGAATAAGACCATTGTATCTATAGAAGTAATCAAATTAATAGTGTAGCCAACTGAACCTGAAACGTAAAATTATCCTTGTTCTGACCAAAGAAACTAAAAAGCAATGGTCCAAACTAAACAACTATATTGATTTAAAACCAGTATAGATTAACCTTTTGTCTCAGTTTTTTTCTACTTTACTGCTCTTGGGGCCTTGGCTTTTATGATTTTTCAATTCTTTTCTTTAAAGAATTAACATTGCTGAAATTAGAAATTCAAAATTTATCAGTGAGTTGCCTGTATAAAATGTATCTAAGCAACAAATGTTTATTGATTTTTTTTAAAAGTCTTCAAAAATATAGAAGGGAAAAAGTTATATCACTTTCAAGTTTGTTTGGTAATACCGAAAGCTATAGTTATTTTATGATGAGAATATATGCCCCAAGAACATTTTCAAAGGTATCTACACTAATAAAAGAGACAAACATGCAAATTGACCGTACCTTCACTACTCCTTAAGCCACGGCCACCAGCCAATCAGAGCAACTGTATGCAAATTAACCCAACCAAGATGGCGGCCGGCAGCCACGGAGCTGGAGTGAGCAGGAGGCTCAGTTGCCCCAGTGATGGAGGAAGCCAAGCTTCCCGCCTGCCGCGACTGGCTCTGAGCTCCACTCAAGGCAACAAAGTTTCAACTATAGAAGATAAATAAACCCCAGATACCTGCTTTCAGCTGGCCGTGGCCATGGAGTTGGAGCGAGCATGAGGCTTGGGTTGCCCCTGGCGATGGAGGAAGCCAAGCTTCCCGCCTGCCCTGGCCAGCTCTGAGCTCCACTCAAGGCTACAAAGTTTCAATTATAGAAGGTAAATAAATCCCAGAATAAAAAA